ATCGTCCCAATTATCGCTGATCGGATAGGCCAGCCCTGGAGATTTTGGAACCGAAATACTCAAACTGGTCAACCTCCTCAAGGACTTCATTTCCGTTGAGGAAGAAACCGGCGTTCGTAGCTATTTTGTATACCCGCTCTCGTACTTTTCGTCAGAATACCTTAATCTGCCTACTCCAGGTCAGCATTATTTATTCGTATAACTTAAGGCACATTTTCCGTCTAGAAGGAAAGCTTTGCTAGGATTAGCACAGCTTTGGAGGAGAAAGTCGAGAAGAGTGTTGAACAACACAGGCAAAAGCATAGCCAACTGGCGGATTCCACAGTCTATAGGGAACCATTCAGATATCTATCCCTCAACTTGAGCAGCAGATAACTCCTGGAGACATCTCTCATCCTGAAGTGCAAACTATGTGCTTAGGCATCCAATAACATTTCAAGACTTTCCACATCACTGGACGATTTAGTGGATCAAATTTAACGTTAATTTAACGTCTGAAAAAGTAAGGCAACTGGAATCTTCAGCATTACTCTGTGATCTGACGTAGACTGAAACATTTGTGAGGGTAGGAGTATTCCATTCGGAGGCTCGCTTGATTTTGGTGAAGTCTCTCGCCAACTGCCTGCCTCATCCTTTCGAGGAGAATCCAGGAGAAGTGTTTTGCGGGAATAGACAGCCTCGTGATACGGCTATAATTCAAACCCCTGGTCACTCGACCTCCCTTAGGTATCATGACAATTATTTCACAAGTACATTCTACACAAACGTTTGGAGGTTCACATTTCAAGGCACTGGGCATGGCGGTTTTCTACCATTCCCGTTCTTCCGTTCTTGATTAATTCATGAGGAATTAGATCCACCGATCTTCCTCATTTTTAAGTGTAGTGAAAAGTTTTAGATTTCTGGTTTGGTGGGTAGATCCGTAGTAATCACTAGTGTTGGTATGGAATTGACGGTTGGAAATTACCAACCTGTAGGGCACTAGTCAAGCAGCTGCTGACTGAAATTTTCGGCTAATCTTTTGAATCGTTCCATCCAATGGGAAGCACCTAGCGCTTTGAATAAGGACAGTTCGAGTCCCCTGCTTACCGGGCATTGATTGCACCCCTTTGAATATTGTTTGTCGGGCACGTTTCAGGCTATCGTATAGATCTTCTTGATCTTCCCCTCCCACCAACGCTCCCTGTCTCACTTGTGCTGTTTCTGAGTGCACGAACGAGTCAGCGATTTGCTGCCTTTGAGGAATCAGTAAAGTGTTGCAGGTACTCCTCGTTGTCTTTGCATTCTGACTGTTAGGGCCTTCTTCGTAACCCAAGGCAATTTGGCTCTCCTCCTCCTGACCCAAACTTCGCTTTTCTTTGAGGAAATGACGCTTTTCTTGAAGTCTTTAGTAAATACCATGGATTCTGACTGGGCTCTAAGGATGTCATTAAAATAACGTTCTACCTGCTTTCGGTAGAGCGACTGTATCGCTTCGTCATATTTAGCCTGTCAACATCGAGCGGCTGATGTGCTCATCAACGTCAACCAGAGGACATCTGTGCGACATGGCAAATTTGACTCGAAATTTCGCCAGGATCATATGGTGATGAGGCGGAACGCCATCGTCATGAGTGACGCGAGTCTTGAGTAATGAGCTGTGCGATTTCCGGTTGATGATCACCTGATCCAGCTGTCTTTCTTGACTTCAATCAGCGAACTTCGTGTAGTTCGATGAATTCGCTCATGAGGAAACGGATCCATCAAGCGCTTGCGGTACTTCACTCCTAACTCCATTTCATAGCAGACTTTGGACGAAAGAGCCTTTTCATAGTTTTGGTCATTTTGAGTTAACGTGCAGCCTCATTTCCATAGCTGCTTGTGAAATGCATTCAGCAGGGTGTCATGCGTGTACTCATCGCGCGTCAGAAATACATGCTATTTGCTGTCTGTGACCCTGTGTGCATTTACAGATATTTCTAACAACTCAGTTCGATGGGGTTTCGAGTAACTGTGCAGAAGAAAGTGTAAACGAAGTGGCATTGAATCAGGAAAGGAAGCGATTGTGCAAATGATTTGACTTACCTTCAAAGCTGAGAAATGTTATTTCTCAGCATGCTTGATATAACTGACGACTTATGGACGAAGATAATCTTGACTGACTGCGAAGCACTTATGAAGCTTTGCGTATATGCTATGGTAATAGATTGTTCCAGTTTAATACAGGGAATGGCAGCTCTAACCACTGTGTCATTACTGACAGCTATGCTACGTGAGATTATGTTACAGAAAACTGATTTACGTCATTTAATTGCAGTTCATTCCTAGCCTGATCTTAATTAAAATGTATTCACTACTTAAAACTTTCATTATGTTTATTGCATGAATAATTAAAGTCTTTTATTACAGACGTACATTGCCAACGGATTCTGTGATGAAAATTGATCGAGAGCTTTCACCAGCCGATCTCTTTAATTAAAAGATTCTTCACACAGTTTCCCTTGACAACCCTTCTGATGCGCGTCCAGCGTATGACGAGTTTCACTCATCTTCGGTGCTTTTACCTCAGCTGAGGTGCAAATCCTCATAAGGGTATACATGAAGGCCATAGCTGAGTTTAACGCTGTTAACCACTAACATGGTTTGCAAGCAAATGTGTTTCAGGTCGAGTCGACTACAATGGCGTCCTCATCTTCGACCGACAAGCAGTTAGTGTCAGAAGGCAAACTGAAGTTCGCCACTGCATGGAGCGACATTAAGTTTTCAGTGGACTTGTCGGATGCCGTGCCAAGGGAACTCTACTTCTTGCGACTCGTTGATCGAAACGGTTCCATACTTTACAACGAAGAATACGTCAAGAATTCGATCAGGCGGTATGAGCAGTGCTGGCTGCCACTTATGGTAAGTTTTCGGTGATAATATCAGATGATTACAATCACACATAATACAAACTGGTAGTTTGCATGTGAGGTTCACTTCTTCTCCTGTTGCCATTGGTTTAGCTTTGCCTGCTTGTTCGAGTTTCGTCACCAATTATGGCTGAAGATCATCAAGGTGTTAAATTAGAACAGAAGTAGCACTTTCCTCATCTACTCCCTTCTTGGGTCTTTCCTGGCGTTTCGTTGTTCATCAGTCCATTTGAGCGCTAGTCCCCATTAGCTACAGCCGATGTCTTCTAAACCTTCACCCAGCCCACCGGATTCAGAGAAGTGTAGCGCTTTGTAAGAGTTTGATCACGTGTAGATAGCGCTGTTGATTGTCAGGCAGCATCACGTTCTTGATTTACCAGAGCGGATTCGTACATCATTTTCAGGCCCACAGTTTAAAATATCTTAACGTCACGACCTTTCCCAGCCCCGTACTCAGTCATAACGTAGCCCCTTTGTGAACTGCTTGATCTGCCTCGTCCATGATGCTTTCATATTTAGACATGCAAGATCTATTTTAACCTTAATATATTCCCCATTCTGATAATTCTTGCACTAAATGAGGCTCCACCGTAAAATCAGCAGATCAAAAAATAGCTGATATTGCAAAAACAGGAGTAATTTTGCCAAATGGTACAAATAATCCTAATAATTTTTGATTGCTCAGACATGAACGCAGAAAGTAGCACAATAAGCAATAAATCAGGGTTCAAATGGATTTAGCAGATCTAAGTATGGAAGCCTCATGGAAAAGCCCTGTTTAAGCAGATCAGTAAGGAACTAAATTGTGATCATGGGAAAGATGCTAATGCCACCCATCATTTGCAGGCCTTCAATTAACGCACTTGTTTAATTAACATATCTTAGCATTATGCAAAGTGATCATAATGTTGATCCCTTGTGATCCCCTTAAACAGATCTCTTCCTTGATGTTTTTATATCAGACATGATAAATTCATTTGATCCTTCTTGTACTCATAACGTGCTACTTTCTGCGGCGTAAAATAAGAATATCGATTTTCAGTTTGTTTAAATCACTTCAGGTCAGACGATAGCAATTATTTTCTTAATGCGCTTGTGCTATTTTTTCTCAAATGACTCACTTGATTTAATGCAATATCGCTTCGCATCATAGTATCCTGTTATAGCCGGTCCTTTCGTCGTTCTTCATTCACTTTTCCATATAATTTTCATATGTAACCCATTGCTTTTATGTCATACACTTACATTTGATTTGAACTTTTAAAGAAACCTGTAGATCAATTATCGAAGCATTGGTACATTTCTCGTATACGGCTGAGGTAAAAGCACGTTAAACAATAAACTACCTCATTAATTTATTTTAACTGCCAATATTATGATCTAAAATAGAACGTCATTAAAGATATTATTCATGAATCGAGAAAATACTATCTTGAAGGAAAACATCAGAATTCCTTAATGGAATGTTGCTTTCATCACGAATTTCTCTTCATGATTTTTTCTGGTGTTCATTACCTTGAAGAAGATCATACTGTGGTCTTTAAACTGCTTCGTCTCATAGTTAAGTTCGCTATTTCAGTCCACAGCTTTCTCGTTCCCTTTCTGAGACGTTCAATTATTCCATTTCCATATTGCGTCTTACATTGTTAAAGTTGGTATTTTCAAGTGTTTAGAAATAGATGTATTATCTGACTCCATAGCATATTATTTATTTCTGCTGTGATCGCTACATTCCATACATCCCATTGTTTTCTTTGTACTGAGATCTCCCAGAACGATCAGAATATCATTGGTTCGGCACCGTTGCAGCAGCACCCTCAGCGTGCAATAAAATCCCTCCTTTACTGCTTCTAGCTCAACTTCGACATGGGCACCATAACCAATTGACTTGTGTACCTGGACTTTAACCTCGCTATGATGATTCGGTCAGATGCTGCACTGCGTTGTGCAAGAGCCGTGTGAACAGCGACCTCTGTCGTATTCCCTGTGCAAGAGTAACAGTAAGTTCCAGTCGTGGAGACGCCAGTTCGAAACCAGTGAGTTTCTAGCATTACCAGTTATCTGTACTCCCACCTGATGTGTTTATTGCGTTGAAAGGAATTCTTTTCCGTTTTGGAGCGTTTCCAGAGTATTGGCCATCGTCAGCGAGATTGTCGAATTTGTTGTAAATCAAGTCTGGTCCATGTGGCAAATTCTGTACAGTTTCTGTAATCAAAAACATTTCTGCTGAGCCGGTCATTTATTTGTCTTTAATAGCTTCCACACGGCATCGTTAGCCGGCCGTTTCAGGATTCATAACAGGCCTTCGCAGTAACCGTAGCATTGAGGAGAGCGTCTTCTACCGTACTTCACCATGCCAAATATTCCCTCAATCGGGATGTTACCCAGTCTTAACGACTGGGATAGAAAATTAAATTTCGAAGACAAATATATACATACATTTATTTTGCAATGGAACTATGAGCACTACTCTCATATTGTCGAAACTGCATGGAGCGCGGTGCAGTAGTCGTGTATATCTCTCAGTTCTTGAGGAAGTACCTCCAGTTGCCATCTTCAAAACTCATGCTCTCACAACTCAAGTTCGACCGGGTACCGGCCAGCATAATCGGCGGATTGTATTTATAGGCAAAAGTGCAAAACAAAAATATAATTCCGCCGCTGGACGTACACTGGATATGGCATACGCACATGCTGGCGCCTCAGTACTATTTCGACGACTGTTTGAAACTCGTTGGTACGGTTGTCGACCACCGCTTGTTCAGTTCGGACGAGATACAGCAGCGTTTCGGTGACTCGTACTCGCTGTGGACCTCCTATCATCCGTCTGAGCCGTACGACTTCGCGTCGGTGGTAGTCAATCGGTGTTCACGGAGCTTCACCTCCAGGCTGGCGTACGACCTCTGCGCTGCCAGCCGCCGGCAACAGGACTTCAATTACCAAGTTTCATTGCCTCACTTCAACTCGCCGAAGTTCATGGCCGAGGCCATCGAGCGCTACAAGCGATTCGTGTTCCTGAAGGCGATGCGTCCGAACGACTTCCTGACGCCGCTCTATGACTTTGACATCGTCTGGCATGCTCATCAGGTATGTTTAGTGTTTGACTAGTTCTGACCGTCGAGTAAAATGAGGGAAAACGCGCAGTTGGAATATCTGCACTCGACAAATTGCTGTTTCGATTCAACCTGGTATTGCGTGGCGTTTCCAGCCTTCATCGGCCAAATGATGGAATTCGGTCAATGGTGTAGTGTTATTCACTGGAAAACATGAAGACCTGAATTTTTCCTATATAATAAGCTTAACAACATACTCTTGCCTCCATACCAACTAGAGTTGTAGAGCATACAACTGCCGAACCAGATTGTTTGCCTCACCTTTGCATTGCTGTTACGCACATCATCCCACAGGATATAATCGTAATCAAGCAGTCGCAGAAATGCAGTAAAACAAATTAATATGATCGGTCTTCTCCAACACCAAATGGGTCTGCTTATGCATTGTTTATTTTCGCATTCTCGACGGGCTAGTCAGCGTAAGCAAAATATGTTTTCATTGAGACCTCGTTCTTGTTCTAATTGACCTGGAAGGTCTGGAAGGCTCTGTCGGGAAAACCGACATCCTACCGGTTGCAACAACTTTGCTTTCATTTTTCGATTTCTTTACCTTTCTGGTTCTTGAATGTTTGGACCTCTATGCGTCGCTCCGTATGTCGCTTGCCATGCGACTCCAAAATTTGGTCGTTCTCTTCTGCGAGGGGAACCGTCCAGTTTAAAGCAGTATGAATGTTATGAAATGTTAAAGCATAAGCAGAATTGGTATACGCAATGTAGCAGCTGCCCCAGAGCATGGGGCTGCTTTTTTTGTTCTTATATTTTTCTACGGATAGAGACAGATTTGATCTGTGCTCAAATATCATGGAGCCAGGGCCAGCTTAAATTGTCTTTCAACGCGATTGGAAACAAGGGTCTTACCCCGGTGCCAGGAATTGAATTGTCATAATTAGAATTCGAATCTTGTTACCGCTCATTTTCAACTCCAGAGATAGAAAACTACATGGATGTCTAAAACAGTGGTCCTTCAGTCGTCTTTCGACTTTCGTCTACAACAGCTGAATCAGATGAATGTTTAATGTTATTTATTAGTATGAGTGGGCTTCAAAAATCGTTAATGTTTTTATTATTCTGAGGGCAGTGTGTTCTAAAATAGAATCGAGTACTTTTTTAGCGTTATAATAAACTGCTCTGTGTAAATGGCTTTGAAATGATGCTGGGATTTGCTAAATATACTTCTCATACAATTCTTTCATTCTGTTGTATACATTATTCACCTCGGTACAGTATATTTTGCTGACTGCTTTGATGACAATCATTTACTTATGGTTATGGTTAAAAGCATTTTTTTCGTATGGGGAAGTCGTTCTTCAATAGATCTTTCGTGTTTCCTAAAGCCATTGGTTTGCGGTTTGTTCGTAGAGCATAATATGCCGTCTGTATGTGAATAAACTCTTTTGTTACAGTCTGGGTAGCAGAACTCGTTCTGTCCCCCATCATCGATCAGTTATCACGTGGTTAGGTCAATTATCATCTATTGTAAAGTGATTTTATGGTTTTAATTATTACTTCAGGTGCATCCGGTTGCCTATGCGGAGGACACGAAGCGAGTTGTGGGAAAGCTGCTGAGGCACGACGAC